CCAAGCATAGTAGGACTCTTTCTTTACAAAAATCCCCTGAATTTCCCTGGAAGGGGGAGGTCTATATTTTCGATGGAGTAGACATAGACACTGGGAGGGTCTTCTATCCCTTGATACTTGGAAGCTGATGAAATTCATTCAAGGCAAAAATCACCTCAGCGTCCTATTTAGTAAATAAACAAATGGGTCTGCTGTTTCTTAAAGACTTCCCTGGTGAGTTTCCAGAACCTTCCTCTTTTATACATAGCAGCTGTACGTATCTTTGGCTATTTAGATGTATTCACATACTCAATACTATTAAACTCCAGAATATTTTCATCAGGTAGGTTTGTTGGCAAACATAGTTTGGGGCAAATGTCTTGAGAAGTCCCCATGTTTGGTAGCATCCATACCTCTATGAACTTTCCCTTACCGAGGAACCATCTGGACTACCCCTGCCCCAGCTCTTGTGCAACTTCTTTCTCTAGTAATAAATCTCAGAGGGGCTAGAGAGCTACGTGTGATTATTCATATGCTACTTCTATTGATGGACTTTTGAGGACAGGCAGCATGTGCTTGAGAGCTACAGTCCTCTTCCAACAAGCAGGGAATGTCTGTGACAGAGGCTGAAAACTGAAGGTGAAGTTGATCCCCTGGATGGGTGCCACAGCAGATGAGTCAGACAACAGGATGGCTTGTCACACCCACTTCAGCTGGGACATTATTTCAGTGAACTGAAGAGTTGGAAATCCTTTTCACCTCTCTTTGGTCCTCCCTGCTTGGCCCCTGCCTTCCGTTCCTACACCCCTCTCCTCTATCCTTGTTCCCAGGTTAGAGTTCTTTATGCCATTCATTTAAGTAGGCAATATGTACTTGACACTGTAGAGCAAGCACAGTGGGCACAGTGACATCTCCAATAGCCTGGGTTATCAGCCCTAGTAAGCTGTGCTGGATCTTGACTTTATCTTAAATATCCTTTGTTCCTTCCATCATGTGTTTCTCTGAGCCTTTTGTGGCTCAGAGAAAAGATAGCAGACAACCCAGTGGATGCATGCATACTCTGAGAGAGTGTTGGATGTTCAGTGAAGATTTTGCTAGTGAGGTCTCTTGGAAGCTTGCCCTATCTTCTGTAGAGTGGAGTGGAGGCTGTGTGAGCCCTGGGATCTCTCAGTGCTATGAAGTCCTGGAACAGCTGTATATCACAAGAGAACACCAGAGTCTGGAGAGCAGACAAACAACTGGGCTAGCCAGTTCCTGTTCTTATAGGGTTTCAGGGTCCCAGTAGAGGCATCCTAGTGCATAGAATAGAAGAGGCTCCTATCTCCAAAGAGTGAGGGCTGTCTCTTCAGGGCATTGAGAAGTCCCAGCCATTTGTACCTTGTCACCTGGAAGGCTGTTGCTACAGGTGTTGGAGAGGAAAATGAAAACAGAGATTGGAGTGTTGTCTGTGCTACTTGCTGGAGTCTGGATTTGGCTAGATCTTCACCTTCAGTTAACCAACAGATCCTATGTCCCTAGGCCACCATAGGGTCCTCTTCTCTTCTGCTATGCATATGGCTTTACAGGAGTGATATATTTCTGTTTTTGACAATACCCCCCTCCAACCTTCCCACTCCATCACAGTCTGAACATCCTGATAGCCAGAACTGTGTGTTTTTCATTTTACAATCCCTAGGGCTCAACACAGGAACCTAAAGGACAGTGTAAAGGGTTAGAAATGATTATAGTAGGAGAGACTCTGACACCACGGTCCTTCATCACTTTCCATCCTGTATTTGAGATCATCCTCCTTCCATCCATTGGAACTAGTCAGCCTGAATGGAAGAGCAGCAATAAGACCTGAAGCCTCTCACTCTAGCTCTAATGCTTGAGCTGTCTATCAGGAGGGAACTTCTAACTAAGCTTCTCAAACCTGAGTGTCTGAAAATCATGGGAGGGATGATTTTAACACAGGTGACTGTCCCTCAAGTCTTGTACTTCTCACAGGTTCTTAGGGCCTGGGAACCTGCCTTTCTGGGTTTGGTGGGATGTTAAGATTGCCAGTGCCAGGACTATCCCCCAGAGACCACTGCAGGAGACATAACCCTTATCCTGAATGTGTTGTGATAGCCAAGAGTGCAATGCTCTGTTTCTTCTTGATGTGGGATTCTTAGTGGGAACAGATTAGTGATGTGTGAGAACAGAAAACCCAGCACACATGCCACTTGGTATCCACAGGGCATTGGTTTCAGCTCCTTACCCTCATGGGTTCCAAAATCTATAAACACTCAAATCTCCTGTAACAAATATGTCCATATTTGTGTCTAACTTGTGTATTACTCCTGTAGACTTTGAATCTATCTTTATTACAATATACAATATAAATACAGTGTAAACACCTGATAGCATGACTTAGGGAATAAGGACAAGAACACACTGCACATGCTCAGTGCAGAACATTTCTGACCATGGCTGGTTGAAGCCATAGGTGGGGAGCCACAGATAGAGGAGACCAGATGTGGGCTGGTCACTAGAGTCTAGGAGGGACAGCAGATTTGAAGTTCAATTCTGAATTCAAATCTAGCTATTGCGACTTATATTTCTGTGATGATGGCCACAGTGGGCCACCTCCTTAGACTATTTTCCATACTTATAAATAGGAACAAAGATACCTGTTTCAGATAAAACTTGTGGATGTTGCATTTACATACTCATCTTGGGATGTCTGGTGCATGCTAGTGCCAGATAATGATTGAGTGTGGTCTCAATTGGAAAGCACTGACCAGTGTTTCTGCTTCTATGTTCATAGGAAATTGTGCACAAGAGAAATGGCAGTTGTCAATGTAGCCAGGCAAATACCTTGAAAGGCTGCAATGCTTTCTTATCTTAGGCTTGTAGGTAGATTACAGATGTGGGAATGGTCTGCATGGCCTGGGTCATATTGTCCATGTGTGCCCTAGCATTAAGCTTGTCAATGCACCTTGCCAAGAATCTGGTGGATGCTTGAACTTGGAGGAGGATGGAGAGTTAATGCCAATGCTTAATGACATGAAAGCAGCAAGAGGTGAATGCCAAGGTTGTTTTCTGTCTTACTAATAAAGATGGCCCTGCAGTTTATCATGTTATAACTAGCTGGGTAGCCTCAGGGAGGTTTTTTTAGTCTTCTCACCCTTGAATGGGAGACTGAGAATATGATTGGCAGTGTTCAGAACTGCTTAATGAACTCTTGAGATGCGACCTAGAAAATATTGAATACCCCCTGAGTATTATTTATTGAGAATCTACTATGGTCCAGGAACAGTACAGAGACCATTGATTCACTTTCCAAATAGCATACAGTTTGAGTGCAGGGGATTCAGCCATATAGAAGAATCAACTTTTCCCAGAAAGCATTTCCAAAGTCCACAGCTGGAGACAGCCGCCAGAAGCCACACCATCAGTTAGCAGGTTGGCTGAGGCTTTAGCTCAGGCCCGGAAGACTTGATAGGCATGGTGACACTGCCCATCAGCAGCTTCCCCCCTCCATTGCTCAATGCCAGCGATTGTCATTTTATGGGAACTGAACACGTTGGTTTAACAGATACTAAAGTAAGAGAGTGGACCGGAATATGTCATTTTCAGACATTTTAATTTGATTTATATATCTCAAAAACTAATTTATATTCATATAATGCTTTCATTATAAAATATGCAGTGGTACAGAGATTTGTGTGAATATGGGAATTAAAAAAATTGGTTTATAAATGGCCTGGAACAGGTTGCAGAAGCATCATCAGTTGCTCTTTTTAATATATCTTGAGCATGCTATGACACATCCTGAAATAATTTGCTTCTGAAAAAAAGAAAAAAACAACACTACTCTCCTCTCTCTGTCTTTTCTCCCCTAAAAATGTAACTGTAAATATTACTTTGATGTATGTAATTGCCTCAACCCTCTCTCTTGGAAGGAAGGCTTCTAACCCTTCCTTTTCCCATCTCTTGCTTTTGTCAAGAAATAAGAAAAACAGACTTAAAATGCATTATTCAAATGTGTGTAATGTAAACATTAAAGAAGTTTGAGCACAGCTACAAATGTCCCTTTTCTTAAAATGTTTGTGAAAAATAACTTGTCTATTCTGTCTTGAGGGCATTTGTTCACTCTGTATAGGCAGTTCACTTGCTCCAGCATGCCTTAGGATCTCAGAGCTGCAGCAGAGTGGCACATGGTAGGACCTGGAGAACACATGGAGAAGATGGACTTGAACTAGATGAGAGGCGCCAACCCTTGATAGACAAGGAGACCTTGGGTACTGCAGGGAAGAGAGATCACCTCTGCAGGACTTGGGTGAATCACATGTTCCAAGCACCAGGTTTCAGTGCTAGGGTCTACAACCCATTATCTCAGTCACTTAGCGGGGAAAGATGATCCCTAAAGTGTCTCTCTTGGACTGTGTAGAGACTTGGGTGGACTGCAGAAGAAGCCCCGGTCAGCAAAGCTGTGGAGATCAGGGCCCATCAGCCAAGGTGTATATCACATGCTATCTGTATGGCTAGTCCACCTCAAGTCTTTTCTTCACCTTTGTGAAGTGATCCAATGAGAATAACATTGTTTTTGTGTGCATGTGCGTGTGCATGAGTCTGTGTGTACTTGAGTCATTGTGTATGTGTGTATATGAGTCTGTGTGTATGTGCGTGTGTGTGCATGCGTGTGTGTATGTGTGTGTGTGTGCATGAGTTTCTGTGTGCATGAGCCTGTATGTATTTGAGTGTTTGCATGTGAGTCTTTCTCTGTGTTTGTGTATATGAGCTGTGTCTATGTGTGTGTGCATGAGTCTTTGTGAATTTGAGCCTCTCTCTGTGCATGTGTATGTGAGTCTGTGTGGGAATTTCCTTTTCTCTGTGAATCTGTGTGTGAGTTTCTCTTTGTGTGACACTGAGTATGAATGTGTGTGCCTGTGTGTGATTCTGTGTGTATGTGTATCCCTGTATGTGTGATGGTCAGTTTATCTGTCACAGAATTAGAACTTACACTTCTCTAGTAATAAATAAGTAAATATTCTGACCTATTTTTCAGCAGAGAGAAGTTCTGGAATCTCAAATCACCGAATCCTTCTTTTGTTGTCCTTTTATTGCCCCTGGGATGAGAGAAAATACATTATAGCTGGGAAACAGCAAGGAGCTGGAGGGAAAACTAATGAAGTGCATTCATTCATAGAAACAGTCCCCCAATCAGATTTGAGTAATTAATGCCTCACATATCTTTCTGACACTATCTTTGCATTTCCACTGGGGCTAAAAACATGTTTAAAGAAACTTAATTACTTAAAGCTGTTTTAGAGGGCAGGATTTGGGATGGAAGAAGTGGCCAGGTCAAAGTGAAGATTGAGTCTGTCTCTGTCACATCAGTGTCTCACTTACAGTTATCATCTTCAAGCTCCATGAGTACCTCTGCTCATCTGTAGAGAAGAGCATGGACTTCTGCTGTGAGCTTGCCAGAAGGATGCTAAGCTACTATGAGGACAGAGACTTGAGCCAGGCACAAGTTTAGCTGCTCTACTGCTGAATTTGAGAAAAGTCTAGCAAACATCATCCCACGTAGAAAGGCAGACTATTAAGCAAGCACAGCTCTGATCCAAGTAATGTTTAGGCACTCTGCTAAGGCATTTTTCCACAAAGAGATTAAATGATTTTAAATTGAGTTAATTTGTTAAAATTCATTAAATACATTTACTATCATAAGCCATCATTGTTATGCATCCCTAGCTCATTTAATTAGTCTGGTTCAGCATACTCTCTTTTCTTTGCAGACATTCCCTAGGCTTTACAAAGTGCTTCCTGGGGATTTTTTGTTGTTGTTGTACAACTGCTCTGTGACAACTAGTTGGTTAGCCAATCTAACTTCACAACCTCCCCCTTCTCTCTGCCTGGATTAACTTGTCTCTTAGCCATTGAACACCCTGTATTCCTTGCCCTGAAGCCCTTTCTGAGATATGCCTTGTCTTCCCTCCTTAGCCTCTGCTTCCACATCAAGTCCATTCTGCGCTTCTGTCAAGCAGCCCCCCCCTTGCAGGCTTCCTCCTTCCTGGCTTCTGGCTGAGCTTTTATTTCACATTTCTATTTACTTATTTGTTCTCTCTCTCTCTCTCTCTCTCTCTCTCTCTCTCTCTCTCTCTCTCTCTCTCTGTGTGTGTGTGTGTGTGTGTGTGAGAGAGAGAGAGAGAGAGAGAGAGAGAGAGAGAGAGAGAGAGAGATGATGGGGGAGAGATGAGGAGAGAGAGAGAGAGAGCGAGAGAGCGAGAGAGAGCACAAGCATGTGCTTGCCCATACATGCACTTGCAGAAGCCAGAGGTGAACATCAGTGTCTTTTTTGTTTGTTTGTTTGTTTTTTGTTTTTTTTAAAGGTCAAATAATTACTGCTTTATGTAGGGACAGTACACTTCATATTTCAACCAAAAGACAAAAAATAAAAAAATAATTAAAGAAAAGAAAAAAAAGCAGTTTAACTCAAAGGTGAAACAATTAGAACACAGAAAGTAAGGGCATCTCTCAGATGCCTTCTAAGTGAAAGAAACATGTGCACAATTTTGTTCCCTACCCACCCTGTGCAGCCCACAAGCTTCTCCTGTGAACATCTGTGTCTTTATTGACTGTGTTCACGTGGTTATCTCACACATAGCACATGTACTGAGGTCAGAGGACAGACAACCTGCGGGAGTTGATTTTCTCCACGTGGCTTTCTGGGGTGTGTGTGTCAGATTTGGCATCAAGCACTTACACCTGCTAATCTATCTTGCCCGTCCCACCCAGCTCTTTTGGTGGGGGGCGGGATCTGTCACTGCATGTGGAACTCATCAGTTCAGCTGTATCTGTGGACCAATGAGCTCCAGCTGTCCATCTTTTCCCATCCCTCCCAGTGATGAGGTTATGAATATGTGCAGCTACTCCCTGCTTTTAAATGGCTCCTGGAGATCCAAACTCAGGTCCTCAATCTTTCAGAGCAAACAGTTGACTTGCTGAGCCATCTCTCCAGCCCCTTACCTTTGTTTCAACATATAGCTTGTTTGACAAAACCTTTGCAAAACTGCTTGCATTTCTACCACTGCAGAGACTTGAAGATGTGTCTTCCTGGGCCTGGGCTTGTGCCTGACTTGTACCGAGCTTATGCGAGCATGTGGGAATGCACACAGGACTTTGGGCCCCTAAGACAAACCTCAGGATCACCCGAGGTTCCCTCCCCACCTGGCATTTTGTGTGAAGGCCACAGGATATAGCATAAGTACACTGTGCAGGCAGGGGATTGTCACTGTGGAACTTGTCCCTGTAGTTCATGATTTCAATTACCCGTTCCAATTCTTTTCTATTTATTTAAAAATGATCGTATGATCGCATCATTCCTTGTTTCTTTTTATTTCATTATCATTTTTCCTTTCTGAGTAAAGCTGATTCCTAAATCTAATCCACACATCGATGTTTCTTCTAAGTTCTGGATGTGAAAAAACAGTTCTTTCTAGATCTTTCCTTTGGTGTCCTCTGATAGATCCAGGCCTTCATCGTTGGGAGGCTACACTGTGCCTGACTTAACTTTTAAATAAGTATCCTGGGCACTGAGCATGGGTGTCCCCTCCGCTCATGGCTGTCTTGCAGACCTGTTACCAGATCCTAACACTCAGATTCTCAGTGGCCTTTCAGCTTTGACCCTTCCTCCTGTAAACCAGTCGCCAATATCAGTGTTAATTCTGCTTTTCGTGTCTCTAGCTCAGCCTCTAGCGTCTCCCTCCTCATCTCATTCTCCCTCTCATCTCCCCTCAGATCTCCTCTCATGTTTTTCCATCATCTTTGCTTGAATGTTTTTCCGTGTCTCCTGGGCTCCCCTCATCTTCAGAATCACTGCAAAAGTTACCTTTCTACATATCAGAACACCATCAAATTACCCCACCCCAATACCTTAAGAGTCCTCCCCAGACCATTGTTCATTCAGGATAAAATCCAAACTTTCAACCACAATAGGTAAGATTCCTGTCCCAGAGTCCTCAAATCCCATTGATATCACTATTCTCCACCTGTCCTCTGTGCTATGTTCCACTCTGTGGCCCCTGAGCTGTTTCTTCTCATACTCCCACACTTTTGATTAGATCACTCAGTTTCCTCCATATCTGGAAATACTCTCCATTCTTCTAGGTTAAGTTCAAATATACCTTCCTTGTGAGCCCCTCCCACTATTGCTTCCTCCCTGAGTTCCCTTGGCACTTCTACTTTGTTATTAATTTGTTTGTAAATTCATTCATTCATTCATTCATTCACTCACTCACTCACTCAGCAAATAGCTATTGGACGCTATCTATCAAGGCAGTAACTAAAGAAAACAGTGGGAGTGTGTACATGAAGCTTATATTGTAGTTGGAAGGTAGGCCTTGACTGACTAAACAACCTTATCATGTGCCTGTGGGTGCTTGCTTTCTCACTGAGTAGGTGCTCTGCTGAGGTGAGGCATATCCTGGCTATCTCTCCTACAGCACAGCCTGAATTACCCCTGCCTGCACTCAGAAATGTTTGAATGATAGCCCATATACTCACAGATAAGAGGTAACCCATCTGCCAGTGTTCATACACACTGAAGTATGTTGCTTCACAGCGTCCTCTGTGTCTCTGTGACTGGTCCCTGCACTGAGCAGTGAGTCCTACCTATTTCACTCCTCCTGTGGGTCATGAGCAGTGATTCTGAGCTCTGACAATCCACACGACATTCCTTTCAGTGGTTTTCATCAGTCCCTTTAGGAAATTGAGGATTCTGGGAACTGCCTCAGCATCTCTCTAGGTTCCTCAGGAAAGCAGCAGTCTAGAAACACCTCTGACTTCTCTAGAGGATCAGCTTTGGTCTTCTTACCATTATGAAGAGAGCTGAGCTGAAATTTGGATGGATTTCATGTTCATATCAACTTGGCACCGTGTGTGCAGGCTTCCTTCTTAGTTTTGCATGAGGGTGGGGAAACAGCAGGCTGGGAGTGGAAAGTTGGTTCTAGGCAAGCAAGGGGGTTGGTGGCAGAGCAGGTACTACAAGCCCCAGTGAGTGGCTGTCTCTTGTCCAGGTGTCTATGTGCTGAGGAGGAGGCCAGGGCAAGCAGGTAAATTCAAGCCAAAAGCTGAGAGGGTACAGGACGGGGGTTGGGGGAAGGACAGTGGAGAATGGGGAGGAGGGGTCTTACTGAAGAGAGTCAGTGAAGGCAGATAGTAACAAACCTGGGAAACAAATGGCTATCTGCCTGCATGGCAAGTCATTAAAGTCTGTTTTTGAAATGATCTCAGAGAGCAGGGGTCATTAATAGGCTTCCTTCTGCCATGCCTCTCTCTCCCTTAAATTACTCCCTAGAGCTCAGATTTTAGACACATACACCAAACAACACCAACAAAAACCAAAACAACTATAAAAAGAATGTCTCAGATATCCCAGAAAATGTTATCACAGGATTTCAAAATGTTTGTTTGACATTCCATGGAAATCTGACCTTGGACAGGTGTGGGCACTGAGATTGGGGATGCTGGTGCTATTTGCCTTAAGTCATCTGGTACACCCCACCTAAGTAGTAAAATAAATCGTCCTGCATTCCTAAGCTGCTGGTCTATTAGCCTGTCACTGTCTCTTTAAGTGCCCCCCCACACACACACACACAGGGAAGGAACTGTCTTTGCAATCGCTTCCCACTCTGTGGAAACATACATTAATGCTTCCCTTCTGGCCACATGCCCCACTCCAGAGTCAATACTTTCTGTCTAGGCTACCTTTGATTTCCTCTTTCCCCTTGGCCTTTCCCCTGCATCATTGTGTATTAGGGTTCATCTCATACTCCTTTCCCACCTGTGGTGATTTCAATAACAATGACCTCCATAGACACATACACATTTGAATACTTAGTCACCAGGGAGTGGAACTCTTTGAAAGGATTAGAAGGATTAGAAGGTATAACCTGTTAGGGGTAGGTATGGCCTTATTGGAGGAAGTTGTGTCACTTGGGGGTGGGTGGGTTTTCAAGTTTCTAAAGCCATGCCAGGCCTAGTCTCTCTCAGCTTCTCTTTGCTTGCTTGTTTTTTCTCTCCTAGAAAGAACATTCCTTCGCTGACATTACAGCCTACTTCTTCA